GAGAACTTGGGGAGTGTGCTGTCAGCACGTGTGTTCAGCCCTCAGCTAACCTGAAAAAATGAAATGCACAGAGCAGTTTGTTGTATGACTGCTGGATAATTGATTTCAGTAATGGTACTCTGTGTCAGTTATTAACTACTACAGTAGAAAACGTGATGAAGTGGGAAGAATTGCAATGTAACGCAGCTTTTGTCAACCATCTGATTTTAATATTTTCAGCAGCTGAGTCTGAAATAAATGCATCTGGATCAAGAGACAAAGAATCGTTTATGTGTTCACTAAGCAGCAGCTTGACTCTTTCTCCAATGAATGTGGCTTGAAACATCTGTTTTTACAGAATACATGTTAGAACAGAATTTACAGAATGAGAACAGAATTTCTCAATTAATTGTAAAGTTCGAATGACAAAATTTTCCTTTTAGGAGAAAATGCTTTCTAACATGCCATTATAATGAATCACTTCCATCTGCCTATTTGCACTGCATTTTCAACCATAACTAAAATTGATGTAAAGTTTAGGCACTCTGCTAAAAGTAATATGATAACCAGCATCATGACTTCTAAGATACAATAGCTGTATTAAAAGGGAAACATTTTAAAACATGTTGACAGTCTAATGAAAAGTTAAAATCTCTGCTGACTCACAGCACATCCAGTGACATCAGTCATAAAGCAAGAACAGAATTTACATCTGAGTGGTTTAAGTGCCCCGAAATTTTCTGCCTTAATCAAAAGGTCATGAAAAATGTATGATTTCCAAAAATATGCAATTGAAATGGGTACTGAATGATTTTTATCAAAACTATAACAGATTACAATTCAACTGATTACCCAAACTATATAATATTTTGCTGTTTTGTAGGCAGGTGTTGCTATAAAAATGGGGTGTTGGAAAGTATCTACGTGTGTCTTAGGCCAACCTGAAGACTATGTTGAGAAGGTCAAGCTGCCCTTCCTCCTTTTGTGACAGGCAGATTATAAACACAAGCTAAGACCTCTGCCCTACTCTTCAAAGGCAAAGTCCTTAGGTAAAAGAATGAACCATAACAAAAATAAAATGCCTAAGCATGTTCCCAAATCAGAGTTGGTTTATATCAGAATTTTTGCTTTAAAGGATATTTTGATTGTCAGAACTATGACTTTGTTTCATGAGGTTGAAATGAGCCAATGTTGGTATTTATAATGGTATTATATCATTATTGGGATAATAAAATGCATTATTTCTAATCAAGCATTGCTACTTTACCAAGTAGTTGAGGCTAGAAATATATGCTTTTCAATCATGAGCAACAGACAATTGAGCGTTTGTAAAGATCAGCAGCTAGAATTTCTCAGTAAGCTAATACATATGAACTGTGTTAGAGCAATTGGCTTAAGTGACTAGGCAGGCAATCAAACAGTTCCTTTTTGGAAAAGGGCATGATTGTCTAACGTGAACGTAATTTTCCATACCCAAAGGAAGCTTCAATGAATGGAGATACAGAAATCCTCAAGCCTTCTAAGTAGGACATATAGCACATGGTACCTCATTATAATTATGCCTAGGATGGCCTTTTGTTTTTTTCTGGGTATACATGTCAAGCAGGTATGTGTGTGATGCCTAATGAGGTTAGTACCTTTGCAGGAGTTACAATTTACAGGTAATGTATTTCAAATCATTCCAGTAAGAAAGAACACCATGCCAACATCTATTTCACCAGAAGAGCTTTTACTGAGCCTTTTGGGGGCAGGGCATGGCCAAATGCTAGCATTGCAAAGTAATTAATTAAAATGGGCCAAAGCACGAATAAAATGGGCCAAAGCACAAAGCTACAATGCCTCCATGAGTTACTGTGTGTTTATATGTATGCAAATGCAATGGAGGGCAATGCAGACAAGAACCGACATTTTGTGGTGGTGACACTACTATTAATAGTTTCAAAACCAACCCTTTTTGCTCCAGTGTTCGTAAAGACCGATCAAAAAGCATTCATGTTTCTAGTCATACTATTGTTAAATGCCAATTTATAACAATATGAAAGAAGGTAACCCCTCAATCAATCCTCTATAAGTGAATGCCCCTTAAAACAAATGCTCACATAAACAAAAATTGGATTATATTTGAACTATAGTTTTTCAAACAGACTAAAGTGCTGCAATCAACCAGATGTTCTTGTTGATGGGTTTGCAGCTATTGATTTACTCTCCTTCTCATATCAGTGACTGAAAGCTGATTCATATTCTCCCAGGATATAAATTTTAAAGAAAATAATTCTCCAGCTGAATTTACATAATTGTAGAGATTCGAGCAGTGTCAGATAGCACACTGCAAGGAAAAGTTTTGCATGTTGTAGTTAAATATAAATCTTTGTTTTTCACTGTATACTGGAAACTCTGAAACCCCAAATGTAAAGATGAATTTTCTGAGAAAAATTTGTATGGCATCCCCAAGTGCTCTAACATATCTAAAACACTCAAATACAGCAATAGTCCTAAGAATGGTAAGATCATTTGCAAAGGGTGCTCAGTAAATGAATTTCTATACTAGAACATAAATACAAAAAGTCCTCAAAAGTCACAAAGAGTATCATCCAAATAGAACTTGTGTGCAATTACTAAAAACTGAATAGGGTTATTTTTATATACCATTAAATTTATGTGTAGGGTGTATAGATACATATATATATATATATATATGTATTCACAGCCTACTTTTTAGTCACAGAAGAAAAGGAAACAACTTGCTTAAGGGTCATGCAGAAGTACGCATGTGCTAAATGTAATACCTTTGACAAGGTGTCAAAGAGCACACGCTGGTCACATTGGAGCGTCTAGGTGTGTATTGATTGGAGGTGATGACTGACATGAGGAAAATCGTACAGTCAGAGAGGTTACATGTATGTGTTGGAATAGCTGCTGGTGGTGATAAGGGGTATGGGGATATATACTATGCTAGAGAGAATAAATTCCTTATGATGGGTTATAATGAATTGATGATAATGCTGCGTGTATCTGCATATTAAAGTGGTGGGTAGTGATAATATGCATAATTGTGATGGTGGGCAGACAGTGATAACAAGATGTGTGAACTGTAGGAGGTGATGGGTATGCATGGTAAAACGAGTAGGTTGTAAGGATGCATGTGTGATGCTGAGTGTAGTGGTGCTGTGAGGAGCATATAGCAGCTTATGCACTGTGGTGATATTTATGCGGTGTGGACTTGCTGCTCTTGACGAAAGTAGGTGGTGCTCATAGGCGACAGTTTATGGGAAGAGGCAGGATGGTGTCCATACAGGTGTAGTATGCTCATACATCTGAGTGGCTACAGCCAACAGAATAAGCAATTACTGAGTATTTTGTATGTATGCCTGTGCTGAGGGAGTGTTGATGCAGTGAGCAAGTGTAAGAGTGTATTAGTGAGTAACCATGTCTGGTTAATACAGAATGGGCAGGAGGTGGTGGTATACAGAAACTGATTAAGTGGTTATGTGTAAGTATGTAAGGACAGCCTGTATACATGGAGCAGTAACATATAGGGACATAAGAGACATATTGCCCAGAAGGAGAAGTGTATGTGAAGGTCATACATTAAAAAAAACCAAACCACCAAACATACAAAAAAATATGCTTTCCAGGGTATAGAGATGCAGTATTAGGACTATCTGCTGGTGTTCATGTGTGTTTGGAACTGGTGGTGCAGATGAAGCGTGTAAGGAAGCAGTGCCTGTCTAGGAATGACAGTATGAGTAGCTATCAGTGTTTATGACTGTGTCTGTCTAGGATCAGGGGGTGTGTACAAAATAGCATGGTATGGGTCAGTGTGCAGAAGCAGTTCATGGGTGTAGGGGTGTAGTGTGGGGCAAGTCATTTATGTAGTGATGGCTTACATATATGTAGAAGTAGTGTATGAATGGAGATGGTGTTAATGGTTTGTGTCACTGTGTAGTGCTGAGGGTGGTTTATAGACTCACCCTGTGTGGATACAACCCTATCAGGGATATGCATATGTTTTAAGTACATTATTAAGAGAGAAGGTTGTAGCACTGGTGATGCAGCAAGTGATCCTGTGAGTGGAAGCAGTACATGAGGGGACAGAAGTGCAGACAGACAAGGTGTTTGCGTAGGATAGTCTTGGCGGCATTGTGGTGTAAATAGTGACGGTGAGCTGTAGTGTGCAAACTGCTGCCTGCACTGTTGGATGTGTGATGGACAGAGGCAGAGCATGTGCTGGGGTGTCAGAATGGGACGGGGGGCATGTTTCAGGACAGAGTGTGTGGAGAGAGGCAGATGCTGCTCGTGTGTGATGTCTGGTGGTGGTGGTGGGACAGGACAAGGTAGGGGGCATGGAGCTGCGTGGTGGTAGGAGGCACGGGCGCTGCCGTTTTCAGGCAGTGCTGTGCACTTAGGGTCGAAGGTTGGTCCATCGTAGTCGGTGCCGTGCCGGGTGCGCGTGCCGTGGCGTGGGCCATGCACACGGTGCGGTGGCCGGAGCGGGTTACAGCAGCCGTGTAGGCATGAGGCATGCCTGTCCAGGAAACGTTGCCCACCCACCCGTGACCCATGACCCAGGCTTTTTTCCTAAAGCAGAAAGGATGGTCCCTTTGCGTGGGGTGCCCCTGGCCTGGACCCAGAGGCCACGGAGGGGGAGCGTTGCAGGATGGAGGGGGAGGAGAAGATGCTGGCTGGGGAGGGCACACCAGTGCGGGGTGGGAGGGCAGTGCAGCGTGGGGGAAACAATACCGGATGGGGAGAGCAGTGCGGGGTCGGAGGGCATTGCGGGGGGGGCGCAGTGGGACGGGGGGAGGCTGCACTCCGGGAGCCCCGGAGCTGCCAGCGC